CACTGCTGAAACTTCCCCTTTGAGACTTACAATGTTAATCTCCCATCTGTCCGTGATTGGTCCCAGAACAGAAGCAGCCAGTGAGTGTTTCTTCATATGATCACAGCCTCACAAGTGTGTTATAAGAAAAAGGATTCCGGGCGCACTGGAAGAATGATCCTAGGTGACAGGACAAAGCTTTGCTCCCGGCTGAAGTGGGTCTCTCCCTTGAATTCTTGAAGATCTCGTTTGTCCCAGTGTACTGACGAAGTGTAAACCTGGGTTTCTTCTCTAAACTTATATTATTAAATTAACATAAGCAAAATTCCACTTGTGAAAAAGAAAAGTTGTAAGTTGAGTTATAAGATGCTCTTACTCTTTCAAAGTCCTATGCTTAAAATGATGAGAAAAGAATGCTACAAATGGAATGTTTATGTCCCATCAATATTTATATCTTGAAACCTAACCTCCAAAGTGATGGCATCAGGAGGTGAGGCCTTTGGGGTGTGATTAGGTTAGAAGGGCAGAGCCCTCTTGAATGAAATTAGCGCTCTTATCACCACTGAGCCACAAAAAAAAAAAAATGAAAGAATGCCATTTGTAGCAACATGGGTGGGACTAGATGTGATCAGACAAAGTGAAGGAAGTCAGACAGAGGAAGACAAACATCATATGATGTCACTTATATGTGGAATCTAAAAAAACTGACATAAATGAACTTATTTACAAAACAGAAACCTACTCGCAGACATAGAAAACAAGAAAACTTAAGGTTATCAAAGGGGAAAGTGGGGATGGGGTAAAGTAAGAGTTTGGGATTAGCAGATACAAAATACTATAAATAAAATGGATAAACAACAAGATCCTACTGTGTAGCACAGGGAACTATAGCCAATAGCTCGTAATAACCTATAAGGAAAAAAATGTGAAAAAGAATATTGATGTAGGTATAACTGAACCCCTATGCTGTACATCAGAAACTAACACGACACTGCGAATCAACTCGACTTCAGTTAAAAAAGAGACCCCACAGAGCTCCTCTGCCCCTTTCACCATATGAGGATCCAGGAGAAGAGAGTCATCTATAAATCGGAGGCAGGCTCTCACCAGCGCCTTGATCTCGGCCAGCAAAACTGTGAGAAATAAACCTGTGTTGCTTATAAGCCACCCAGTCTATGGCGCTGTTACAGCAGCCAGAACGGACCAAGACAAAGAGACAGGTATTTTTGCCATAACGCGGTAAACGCGATTCAGTGAAGTCTCACCATCTGCGAAATCATGCACTGTGAAAACCAAGTTCACAGGAACAACAAGGTTCAAAACCCACGCAGCTCTGTAATCAGAAGACTAGAAAAGCAATTGATCCTAAAAACACCAGCACACTTAAGGAGACGTTAAACTGTTATAATGATAGAAGTTGACCTTAGAAAAACACGGCAAAGGTGGTGCAATAGATGGGGTGTAAGGAAGAGTGGGAGCTGCTGTCGTGGGAACCAGGGCACACGAACCCAGGACCTGAGCGGTAAGCACCCTAGAACAGAGCACGTGGCCACCCTGAGCAGAGCAGTGCGGAGGGACGGGCCCCGTGGACAGGGTCCCTCTGAGGCGTCAGCTGTCGGTGCTCCCTGGGGTCAGGGGCTGGCACCTGGTCCCAGAAGACACTGATGTCCTGGCTAAGACGGTACAGGAACTGACCCGACTTCTGTGTCATAATGACATCATTCCATATCTGCCCATCACGTATGAGCAAATTTGCAATAATAAAACGCCGAGGTGGCCAACCAGCCAGCACCGCTCCTCCCTTTGAGGAGACTTCGTTACGGCAGCCACGGTGCCCTTGGCATCGCGGCAGCTCCCCGGGAACTTCTAAGAGGCCCAGACACATGTGCAGCCACGGTGCCGAGACAGCGTGGGAATCTCAGCAAAACAAGATTCACTGAACCTGGGGACGGTGACCCTCGCGTAATCCATGTGAGATAAATGTCAGAAAAGAGACACGCACATGGTTTAATAATCCTCCCGGGGGGCCTAGAACACTTTTGGAGCTGTTGCCTGGGGCAGTTTTATGGAGTCATTTGGAGCAATGGCTCCAGGTTTAAAGCAGCTTCGATTCACATCCTGCCTCTCCCAGGAAATCTTAACCAAGTTATCCCACTGATCCACATGGCTGTTTCCTACGAGACAGAGGTAATAATAATATAGCCCTTGTCTCGCGTCGAGGAATAAACGAAATAATGCAAGTAAAGCGCTCAGCACAGCACCGGTAACTGTCAGAGCTGATTCCCGTTCTCCTGCTGAAGACTGAGGCATTTGGAGGAAAGGGAGTAAATGGGGGCTTTTCATCTTTGCTCTTTCGGTACATAAAGGGCACTTCGCCATGGTCAGGAGAATGACTGAATTCTAATGGGCACAAATGTGGCATTTGAGAATTGCTGAGGACGATTCTCTTTCTTCCTCCTTTGGATCCTCACATTCTGTAAAGGTAGCAAAAGTGGGCCTCTCGCCTTAAGCCTCTCAGCTCGTTAGCAGAAGGACCGGGACGCGAGCCAAGCCTGCGTTCTGAGTGGACCACATTCATGCCTGCAGAGCCTGGCCAGCAAAGGGATGGGCTCACCTCACTCACATCCTGCACTAAATGCATTTAAATACAGTTTCTAATTCTGAGACCTTGGTGTTTTTCACACATAAAATCCCATTAGCTTGACACGCCTACCAAATACTCAGATGTGAGACAAAATGTGGTTATTTTTAAATGGCATTCAAACTGCATGTGGGGGAAGATGCATTTTGGGGCACCCGTGGTGGTGGAATCACGCAGCACGTGGCCCTGATTCTGGAAGGTGGGACCTGCAAACAGAGGCCCTTAAAGCCACCGAACACTTAGAGCAGAAGAAGGAGATGATTCAGTAAATGTTTTAAAATTACAAATCACCTAATTTCACTGTCAAGGAATCCTGTGAGGGCCTGGGACTCCCATTTTTCTGATAAGACAACTGAGGCTCAGTGAGATAACTGTTCCAAGGGTGCCAAAATCTAGAAGAGTCATGGCCAAGGTGCCGCACCCAGCCTGCCCACCCTGCCCATGGGATTCCCGACTGGCAGCACAGACCCCCACCCTCTACCCCCACCCCACAATTTAGGACAACAGGGCCTCTCCATCTCTGACCAGAAGTGTGGATAAACACGAACACTTCCTCTCTCGTTAAGGATAACTCCCGTTATCGAGAAGGAATCTGAGGCATCAGATGACAGCTTCTCTGACCAGTGCAGGAAGCAGCCCTGCACACATTCGGATCCCACCCTGCTTGACACTGACTCTCTGCTTGGAGGGCTGGAGCCCATGCAGGCTGCTGGAGGCCCTCGGATTGTTAACAGTTACCCTTGTTCAAACTCTGAGAGTTCATCCTCTGGTAAAAGACTGTACAGTTTTATACAACCAAATGTTTCGTAACAGCTGTTATCAAAAAATAAAAAGAAGAATGAATATTTTTAAAGAAACTTTAGATCTCATTAAAGTTAGTTCTGGAAACATTCTACCTGAATTCTTCTGAATGGAAAAGTGGTGATGGCTGAGTGGTTTGAAAGTTTATCTGATGTGATCACGTGGAGAGAAGAGGTTGGAGTCGGAGCTCGGTTTAGATGTCCCTGAGCCCACGGGTGCCCCGGGAACGGGGAGCTCGCCCACTCTTGTCCGGTTCCCAGCACAGCAGCGCCCGCAGCACGTGACCGCTGGGGGAACGAGCTCTGCTGCTTGGAAGCTGTGAGCCTTGAGTGCAGCCCTGATGGCCCCACGTCGTGGGTGTGAAAGGACCACCTCCCTCCCAGGAGGATGGATGAGAGGGTGCACGTGTGAAAGGGTTTGGAAACCACACACAGTCATGAATCAGTTTTGGGAAAAAAAAAACTAAAATATTCAAGAACTACACTATTAGAGAACCACGTGGGACGGCGCAGGATCGAATGCTAAACCGAGAAGGGGTGGATCAGCAGGAGCTGGAGCAGGAGGGAAAAGGCATCCCAAGTGGGTGGGCAGAGCAGCACCCCCACCCCAACAGAGGTGTCCGCATGCTAGTCCCACAGCCCGTGAATACGCGTGGTTATGTGGCAAAGGGAATGGAAGTCTGCAGGTGCTGTTAAGGCAGCTTGAGATGGAAAGGTGATCCCAGATCATCCAGGTGGGCCCAGCGCACTCACAAGGTCCTTGAAAGTGGAAAGGAAGGCAGAGGAGGGAACCAGAGAGATGGCAGCGTGAGAAGGGCTCAAGCTGCCATTGCCAGCCTATAAGAAGGAAGGGGCCACAAGCAAAGGGATGAGGGCACCTCTAGAAGCTGGAAAGGGAAAGAAACATTCTCCCAAGAGCCTTCAGAAGGAACGCAGCCCTGCTGACACCTTGATCCGAGCCCCATTGGATGTCTATCCTCCAGAACTGTTAGAGAGTAAGCCTGTGCTGCTTAAGTGGCTACATTTACAACATGTTGTTGGAGCGGCACGAGGACACTGACCCCAGCGGTGGACCAGGGTTTACACTGCGTGGGCAGCGTGGAGGGGAAGGGAGCTGCGGGCAGGGGATCTACTAGGGGAAAGGCCCACAGCCCGGAAGCTCACGGTGTATGGAGGATGCCAGGAGGAGCCCACCTTCCCGGAGCAGAACCTTGACAGCAGCGAGGAAGCACCAGCAGGGAGGCAAGGGAGGACAAAGGCCACTGCCTGCTCATGGCCACAGGGGTTCCACTTCCCTCCTGCCCTTTCCACAGACATCACGTGGAGGTGGACCGACCTGGGCCCAGGAACCAGCAGCATCCTTGTCACTAACTAGTCTCTGGACAAGGCACGTGTCCTGAGTCTCGGGGCTCTCTCTGTCAAGTGAGGATTCTGCAGCAATGCCCTTTCTGGTGTGAGAATCAGAGCTAATTCATGTTACAGGCCAGACACAGGCTGGCCCGGTGCTCAGGGAACCGTCGCTGTGTCCGTGACCAGAGCAACTAGCAGTGCACCGAGAATGCTCCCCACGGCGCCGGTACCTGGATGTTCAGCCTCCCTCGGTGCGCCCCCAGGCCGTAGCGCTTCGAAGTGGACGCATGGAGCTGGAAGTCTGTGATTTTTAAGGTTTCCAGACCAAGGGGTGGGCAACCTGGAAAGGACAATGCTTGTTAAAAACAAGGACAGATGTGGACAGAAACGAACTCCTGGCTTTCTAAATCTGGCCACTTGCTTTTCTGTTTTTCCCCTGAAGTCCCCACTCAGCCTCGCAGCCCCACCCCCTGGTATGCCCAGTGTTTCCGGACAAATATTCTCAGCTCCACTATCAACGTGATGCCAATTTTCTTTTCTGCCGGCATTTCCTTTCTGAGTGTTTTGGTTCTGATATTCTTTGTCTCTGATGCTGTCCACGCTACTGTCTGAGGCTGTTTCCAATTAAGGACCCTTCCACAGAGTGACTGAGCCAGGGCGCATTATGAGTTAGAAATTTCAGAGCGATCCCATGCTTGGGTTCTGCAAATTAATCAGAACTTGTTGATTTTGCTTCAGCAACTCGGGCTTTGTATTGTGCATACTAATGAGCAGAGCAATATAAACAGAAAAAGCGTCTTGTCTTCCACTCTTGGCAAAATCAGTAATGCTGAGAACGGCTACTCCACACAGTTTGGTCCAAGCGGCCCTGGAAGAAGATGTTGGCACTTGGGCAGACCCTTGGCGATTATCCTAGTCCAGCCCTTTGTCCCTGCGGATAAGAGCTTTAACAGAAGCCCTGGGGCCGGGCCCCGGGTCTCCTGACTCCGGGGCTGCCGTTCTCAATACCCACCCTGGAGTGGGGCTAGAAATGTCCAAATGATGCAATCTCCTTCAAATCTGACCCTGGGGAAAGAAAACAAACACTCGGGAATAGAAGTGAACCAGATATATTTCTACTAAAAGTACCAGACATCCCTAATGCAAGAAAAGCAAATTTGAAAAGCCCTGTGGGTCACTGCTGAGATGGGAATGCCCCAGGCATCCCAGGGGCACCTGGAGACGTGGGGGTGTCTGTCCATCCATGACAAACCCCTGCAGGGGAGAGGTCCTCTGGTCCTGAGGCTGGAGGAGCCTGGCCAGACAGCAGTCGCAGGGGATGCTCTGCAGGCACCAGGTAAGAAAGTCTGCCCAGGTGCTGCAGGTAGAGGAATTCAGACCTTCCAGGACCTGAGATGCCTTCTGGTCCTCCCCTTGGGTTCTCAGAAAAGGAAACCGAGGCCCCAAGACTTGAGGTGAATCATCCAAGGTGTCCCCGCCAGCGGCAGAGCTGCACCTCGGATCCCAGTCTCCAGGCTTTCAGACGATGCCACACTGCGGCCTTGCCCACATCTGCCAGGAGGCTGCCTGGATTGGTAAATATTTACCAGCCATCTGTGCTGCCTACAGAGAGGCAGAGGTACTGGCGAGGAGCACGACGGGGGAGGTAATGGGTCTGCTGCCGCCTGCTTCATGCTGCCCGGGAACTCGGAAGACCCCAGGGGGTACCGTGAGCAATGGTGCTCCGTCTGACTTCCGTGAGATGGGCCATGCCCGGTGAGCAGTGACCATGCAGTGAACAGGGGCAGGGGGTGTGCAGTGAGTGGGGACCACAGAGTGAAGGGGGAGCCTGCACAGTGAGTGGCAGGCCGTGGGGCAGACGGGGGTCTAGGCAGCGAGCCTGGGAAGGAGCACGTAGCCAGCGGGGCTGACCCCACACAGGGCAATCTAGTTCCCATAACCCTCTTCCCTCACTGGGTCTACCCTGGACAGCTTCCCAGCCTGGAGGTCACGTGGGTCTGACTCACATGAATGTACTTGCTGCTTCCAAAGGTTAACTGAATTATGAGCTGTTCATCGTGCCCACCAGAAACGGATTCCGTGTCTGGTGACAGAGTCACTTACTCAGAAACCTACACCGCCTGCCTCCACTAGCCGGCCTGGTCCTGGGCCCTGTGATGTGGACTCGGCAGCAGCCAAACCGTATACCCTCCTCGGGGCCTGCGGCCTCGCAGCTCAGTGCCAGCCCAGCCCAGACGGGCGCGGGGCCCCGAGCCCCAGCACTGCCCCGCTCGGCCTCAGGACAGAACTCCGCCTGCTGCTGCTCGCCTCTCTGGGCCAGGGGCCTCCGGGCTCTCAGACCCCAGTGGTCACTGGCACACACCAGAGGCCCCGGTGAAGATTCAAGGCAAGGCCTAAGGGTCAAGGTCACTGCCTATCCTCTCGGAGGCTGGCCTCCCAGAGGTCCTTCTACCTGCCCCTCAGGGCCTGGCTCTGACCCAGGCTTGCAGGTTCCCTCAGCCAGAGCTGCTGCTCCTCTGCCCCCAGCTCTCATCTGCCTCTTACTAGCTAACCTCTTCTCCTGGTCACCCTGTCTCCAGACACAGCAGCAGAATAAAGGCACTTCTAGGGCCCCGAACCCCTGCTGCCCGGGCAGTGGTGGCTGGACGACCCCCATGGCCGTGTAGCAGCCTCTGTACACCTCTGTTCTGCCAGCCGTGCCAGCTTTGGTTTCACAGCCAACAGGGAACAGGGCACTGGTTCTGTCCCCTCCTGCCTGGTACTGTCCCCAACATTCCCACATAAACCAAGCATCAGAAATGCAGAAAGGATCCGCCGCCCTGGCGGTGAACCTGTTTCATAGCCACACTGGACATGTTCCCATCCCTGAGGTCCCTCCTTCTGGGCAGAAAACCTGGCAGGTGGCGAATCCCACCTACTGCATCCAGCTAACGCCTTCTGTTTGTATCATGCACACAGTCAGCTCCTTGACAGACAGACAGACAGATGGACGGACACACGTATATTTTATTTACTAGCTAAATAAAGCTGTAATTGTTGTCCAAAGCATTTCTTCCAGAAAAAATCTTGTATATATGTGAATATGTTCATTTAAAAAAGAGCTACCTAAATAAAATTTCATCATCATCAAAACTGCTCTTCTGCTGATATGTGGAAGCTTCACCACATCCTCTCACTGAGATACCCAAGGGGTGAAAAGAAAGCACCCATAAGTGGGATAATTCTTGGGTCCACATCTGACAACTCAAAATCACAATGCCTTCCGTCTCCAGGGGATGGACCGTGGTGTACACGTGGCAAGAGTGGAGTCCCATGCAGGGGGCAGCGCCGTCAGCTGCCCCATCAGACGAATGTCCACTCCTGTTCACGCCCAAGATGGTGTGACAGCAGAAGCCAGGAAAGCCACTCCTTCCATCCACAGCACAGCTACCCGCCCAGACGAACACACGCGCTCAGCCTGCTCACAAACGTAGCCTTCCAGGAAACTGAGTAAGGATTCTTTTTTCCTGATCAGAAGACACTATCTTTAGAGAATTTAGTTTTGTCTGGAAGCCTTTTCTGTCGTCCACGCCATTAATAAAAAAACTAGAGAAAAGGCACTGTCCTTGACAGACAAAAGTGAAGTTACTGACATGCACAGGTTAGCGAAGCTCCTTTGGTTGTAAGAAACCAACGGTAGTTAACTTAAACAGGAAGAGGAATCTTTGCAGGGATGGCAGGAAACTCACAGAAGGGACCAAGGCAGGGACACAGGGCAGGTGCAGGGACACAGGGCAGGTGCGGGAACACAGGGGAGGTGCAGGGACACAGGGGAGGTGCAGGGACACAGAGGAGGTGCTGGGAGGAACGGGTGGGTTCCCCCCACATGTTCCTGCTCCTCCACAGCTCTCAGGGGTCTCTACACTCTACACGTTCTGAAGAAAGCCTGACTCGCTTCTTCGCGTGTCTGCACACTGGGATCTGAGTGCCGTTAGCAGAGGGAATGGATGCTTGGGCTTCAAGTTCACGTACACGATGGGCATGTGGAGCTGCCAGTCCAGCGTGGCAGGAAATACCAACCACGTGCAGCCTTGTGAAGCCATGCTGTACCAGTTCCTCTGGCCACCTTCCCTCTCTACCCAACCCCAAGGGTCTGCACCTCTGTCTTGACTTCCTCTCCATCCGTCCCTTCCTTGAATTTTTGCATTCTGCGCTCTGGCTTCCATCTCAGAGCACAGTGGCTCTTCTCAGTCGGCGACCCTCTTGGACTCTTCAGACTCTTCTTGGGCTCCCTTCAGTCTGCTCCCTCTTGGCTTTTCCCCAGCCCCACCCCAAGGTTTCCATGACATGACAGCTTTCTGGGTCTCCCTTGCCTTCTTCCTCATTTGAGGGGAGCCTTTTCCTCCTCTGCAGTGCAGGGCTGTAGCCCTCAGACTCATCACTGAGGGTCCTCCCTCCCCTCCCTGCAACAATCCACATGAGCTCCCAGAAGCCATCCACACCAGCAGGAGGTGAAGCACACGTATGAGGTTTAAACTCAGGACCCCACCAGCAAGAGTACTTGGAGGTCAGTCTATTCCACAACCTCCCACACGTCAAGCCTGCTGGCAGCAGAAGCCCCGGTGGCTCCTCTCAGCTGCGATGTGATGCTGCACCTGCAGGAGATGCTCCCACCGTCTTCCATGGTCCCCTGCCGGAGCGGCGCTCCCGGGCTGCGCGACCTCCCCCTCCGCTGCAGCGCCACGGGGGGACACGGAGGCACAGCACGAGCGGACCTTCACTCGGGAGGTTTATCTCTGTTTCCTCAATCCTCCATTCTTTATTTTCTCCTGGAGAACCTCCACTCCTTTCTTTCCACCACGTATCTGTTTGACACTGCCTTTCACTCTGGTCCCGTAACCATCAATGCAATGCCGCTCAACAAACGTTTACCGCATCCTGGTTCCACGATGCGGTATCCCGCTAGGCTCAGAAAAAACTACAAGCCAAATCATTTGGGCACCACCCACCTTCCCCAAATCACAGTTTAAAACACTTTTTAAACTTATAGAACATTTAAATACAAGTTCTCTATCCCACATTCCTTTATGCAAAGATCAATGTGGCAAAAATCTCAGGTCAGAATCACACGATCCCTGCCAGAAGTTCCAAGGCTCATCTCAATGACTTTATACTGAAAGTCTGACACAGTCATCTCATGTTTAGATCAATTAAGGGTTTTCCTATTACGAAGGCAGGAAAACAAAGGACAGAAAAATTACCCTTTGACTTAAAAATTCTAAATTAACTAAAAATACAGAGCACTGAAATGTCTGCATTAAATACTTAACTCCGAGGAATTTCAGTACAGGCAGACCTCGG